CCAGTTCTAAAGTACAACGATAGTTACTGGTTGAGATGTTGGCATGGTAGGACGGACGGTTTTGGTTCAGGCGTATTCCATAGCAAATGTGACGGCAAGGGACCAACTGTAACCATTGTACTTGTCAAGCCCTTCTACATTTTTGGGGGATATACAGACTTGGCCTGGTCTAGTAAGTACAATACTGACTTTGTCTTTTTGCGTCGAAGTTTCTCATCAAATTCACGTATAATTTATGAGGCAAACACAATACTCCAAGCTCCAAGAGCCATACAGTCAACTCTCGCTATTACGGACACCCTCGGGACCGTAATTTAGTGTCCACAGTAGCGAGAGACCGTAGTAACGAGAATTACTTTCAGTCATTTCTTTGTATTTTTTTCACCGGGGATTCAGTATTTTACTGTCCGCAATATCGAGGTGTCAGTTGTAGCGGGGTGTCCGTAAGTCGAGAKTTGACTGTATTAAACATGGTAGCCGAGCATTAGCATCAAAGCGAGACAGAAGTTGAGCTTTCAATGATAGATATATACCTGTGAATGATAGGTGTGAACACAAGGTATCTATCACTGCAGGCTCAACTCCTGTCTCGCTTTGATGCAAAGGCTTGGTTACCTTTCAAGATGGCACTTGGAACTGTAAAATAGAGTATTGCAAATCACAATCATGAAAATATGTAAATAAAAAAGAATTTCGGGAACTGAATGATGATCAAGAGAACATGAATTTTAATTTTATAAATCAGACAAACTACAAAGCTACTCAAGCTCCACTGTGTCATTTCTGTATTCCTTGTATAACATCAAAGGCTACTATCCTGTCAAACTCAAAATCAAGGACACCAGCTTTGCCACATACAGGACTTCGAATTGTCCTACATTTGGTAGAGGGCACGACCTTTACATTTCCAGCGAGGCTTCGACAAACTCGCATTCGTATGCCACTGCACAATCATACGAGATACCTCCAGGATGCTCCGGTGGAAAYTGTCCATTTTTTGCAGACAAAGTGCAGTTCCAAGTCCAAGATATCGAGGTGTTTTACGAGAGAGATGGAAGTGCTTTTTAAGTTGGAATTTTAAAAAATTGAAAAAACAAACTTTGAAAATTAAAAACAATATCCAGGAAGCAAAACAAAATCTCCCGATCCATGTTTGTCCCCGTCGACATGAGTCCAGAAATTCCGTATCCGCAAATGCTTTTCATGAGGGTACAGATAACGTCGACACGTGTCCACGCGCCGTATACGTACGGTTGGAATACGCAGCGTTTCAGGAGATTTCTGTRTTTGTTCCTTAGGGTGGACATTTCTTTGTACTATGCATTCCCGGATACGTGTTGAACATAAAGATTCAGCTTTCTTTGTAGTGCGCATGACCTGTTCTTTGAAATATCTCGGTTCGTAGCGGATGGTCATGTGGACGGTCGTACACGATTTGCATGATATTGCTACGCGTCGGACGCAGATATGTTTGTATCCTAATAAGTTCATATAAGATATTCCGAAAGCACACGTCTGAACTCGTATGAACGGGATCTTATTATAAGGAACTTTGAAAAAAAGATATAAAACATCAATCTAAATAACCCTTGCTCTATACACTGACTTCACACAGTGTAGAAACTAAGAACTCTCTAACGAATTCRGTGCAATTTTCAGATACTTTGAAGAAACAAATGATTGGAAATTTAATGACATTGAGACTGGAACATCCCTAGAAAAAACGCTCGCTCGGGAACTAGAAAAAAAAGAAAGAAAAAACAAAACAAAACAAAAAGTCAAAGAACACTGTAAATTTCCTGTAAATACTAGCCTTATGGTAGCTTGGCTCTGTTCAAAGAGAATTTTGAAGTAGGGATCCCAAATTTTATTGTAAATGCTATCTTGACTATGATATTTCTCGTGCATTTCGTTATCTCACAGGAAGAAGATAATATAATCCATATACTTAATTATTCATACATCTGGACGATGATATGAACACCAGGCTGAGCAGATAGCCCATATAAACGTACAAATTGTACCAATGCTTTGTAAAATCCCTAAAAATTACCAACCTTGCAAAAACTCTAGACCGAAACGTACTTCGCTTCACTCCTCTTTCTTGCTCACTCTAGTTTCGGAAYATAAAATTTTATTACACTTTCGTTATGATTATATTCATTCATTTTTTTCCATGGTTACTCGACGAAATATTTTAATTAACAGAAACACAAAGTGACGAGAAAATTGTAATACAAAATCAAATTGTGTTAATGTAAAACTGAACAACAATAAAAACGGGGCGAAAAAAATATTATTTAATGATTACTCAGTGTTCTGAATTTAGCCTAGTCTTTTCAAATAATGAACATTACGTCAACTTTAGTGCAAATAAACGGGGGATTGTGTTTTGTTTTTATTCGTATGAATACAGCGGAAGTAGTTATAGATTGTCAGGCAAGTTCTTATTCCCATGAATACAGCGGAAGTGGCTGTCGATTTAAACAATCAATGGTCAGGCCCGCTTCATTTATCGATATTATTTCCCGCGATTTATCTATGCTCAATAGAAAATCGTAATGAAATAAAACCARGATCGCTATTGAATCTTTAGAAAACGAATACGCGATTAGTTTTTYTTAAGGTGTATTTATTTTTGTATTCTTGTGTACACAGCCTACATTATCGTGTTCTAATCACTTGGTCTTGCCACTCATTCTTCASGYTTTCTAACATGGAATATCCCACTTGAAGTGGTTAGAAATGTTTTTCCCAAACTTGATACTTACGTTGACATTCACAAGTGAATCGTATGCTTTATTTTGTTGTGTTTAAACATACGTTTAGAATAAATATTCAAGATCCGGTTATATATAGCAAGGGGTATTAAATGTATCACAGGAAAATTAAAAATCCACTTCTTTTTAAAACCTCTCTTCCTTTCAAAAGCACCGAAAAAAATCCCGGTTAAGTTCAGTTGGAAAAACATCTTCGCCTTGCACAGTTCTCCGACAGAGAATTCAGAGAAATGTTTATTGTACCTATTGCGTGGTTCAATTAATGTGTGATTTTTTAATGTTTACAAAATATTCCCCATGTTGAAATTTTAAGTTAACTTTCCATTTAAGATCGTTAAACGTGAACAGTTCTCTTTGAAAACCAAATAGCCTGGCAAAGGCACGCTGAAAGTCATTGGTTCGTAGAGCATATATCCAAGGGTTAATTGCAGAGCCACTGAAGTTGACCAGTATTGCCCAAATCCACTTGCGATAAAGTCTCATTTCTCGGCATTTGTCGCTCTGTGCCATCGTTAAGAACGAAAATACAAGACTTGGAGCAAAACAAATAATGAAAAGGCCAACTATTATACCAATTGTAACCACGGCTTTTTGATTTTTTTGACGAGCGCACATCGTTTCGAGTGAATCTTTTTTCATCCTCCTCTTATGTCGAGAAACCTCTTGGAAAATTTTGAAATAAAAATAAGCCATTGTCCCAAGTGGCAGAAACACTACCACAGATAAGCATGCTGCCCACAATGTTACCAACGAATTCTCTTCGACTATAAAACTGGCAATTCCAGCTACGAGAGAAAATGACCAAAGAAATCCAATAGCGAGGCAGCATCGTGTTTTGGTGAGGATTTTGCCGTACGTGAATGGTCGAGATATGGCGATGTACCGTTCAATGCTTATGAAACACAAGCTGAAAGTTGTAACAGTTAGAGATTGAATCCATAAATAGTTTTCTACTGCCATAAGTGGGCTATTTTCCATCCAAACATCCTGTACAACTATTGTAATGTACAGGGGGTTCATTAAAAATCCAACGAAAAAGTCTCCTAACGTTAGAGAAAGTAAGAAAATGTTCGACTTACAACAACGTAATTTCGACCAACATATTACTAAGATGACAACACCGTTGCCAATAGAGGAAGCACATCCAGATATAATGTTCATGATAATGAACACTGTCTTTGATGTCCCTGCCAAATTTGCAGAGCAGGACGAATTGGACATTTTTTTTATCCTCAAAAACCGAAGAAGACCGTCGCGCTCAGCCGCCCAATTGCACTTCCAATGTATTATRAATCAATAACAACTAGCTCTTTTGTACAAAAGTAAAAGACAAGTGCTTGAAGGGGAGCTTAGCATCTAATCCACAATGTAATAATACGTTGTTGTTTGTACCAATTCTTTGGAAATAAAGTCAAGCGACCTTGAACACAAAAAGGTCCAGTACCTTAATGCATATAATCGATTTCAAGCAAGCTCAAATAGAAAAGGTGTCTGTCCCAATTTATTTTTCTTTTCAAATGTAAATATGACGTTAAAATGTTGATGATTCTGACATCTGCCTACTAAGATTCGAGAATGATTTTTAAATAAAAATTCGCTCTATARTTTAAATTTTCGATGTTTCAGCGGATTTAACATTTTGGTGGACTTTACGATGTACTGTTTACATCAACTTGAACTTTTACTGGTTACTTGGATATATGGTCGACTGGACGCGACAGGACAATATAAGCCATTCTGAGTTATTTGCCAAGAGCTCATACATCTGTCAGAAGCCCAATAATATAATTTATTCTTGAGAAAGGTTTATTACGATTCCGACTATACTGCTGCAAAAGCAAAAATACTCTTGAAATAAAGTGAAATATCTACCAAAACATTTTTTTRGTATTTGAATAACAATAAGTGACATTTCCTGGACCAATTATCGTGTGAACGTGACCTGCATTTACAGAAAACCTTTGACAAGGTAATTACGACAGCTGCGGTCCATTTCACTGATGGCTTTTTGCTTTTAAAGGAAGATATTCTTTAAAAAAATGTTTTTGGCGAACTTTTTGTACTCTTCTTAGGATCAGGACGACCTTATGGACTGATATTGAGTAAAACCTCTTTTCCGCCTTTGCCAAAATAATTTATACAGACTGTTCTACATTACACAAATAATGATTTTATCATGATTTCTTTAGAAGCCGATCCTGACATGCTATGAAAATTACAAACTGAGTTGAATTCTGAGTGTGTGGGTAGAGACCGCAGTCTACGTGATGCACTTTTATCCAATTTGCAAATTTTTAACAAATTGACAAAAAATACTTTTATTTYCATTCCTGGTACATCCGATTCGAACCACAAGCGTCTTAATTACAATTGTAATCACAAGCCTTTTACAGGAAGAGGTTTTTGGCCACAGTACGTCATGAGCCCCTTTCAAAGCATTTATTAATAATTCAAAAGACGACAGAAATCGTATTTTTCAGCAACGAATATTCAATATTCTCAGAGAAAAGCGTTAGCATTGCTTTAAACTGTGTCCAATGCTATCCTTAAAGCTTGTTCACGATTGCTAAGATCGATTGTAAAGCAGACTGTAGGATATCACACGCGAAAGGTATCACTTTAACCAGAGACTTTTTAAGTTAAAATCAGTCTGAAAAGGCATAACTTATAATCACGACAGTCGGAAGATGAGACTATGCTTTTCGCCAGTCAAAGTTATATCGTCATAGTACAGTGAACATTGACCAACATTGACAGGAMCAGAGAAAAACGTGCCAAGCCTTGCACGTKGGTRAAGTATCAATATCGAATAACGCGAATGACGTCATACTTGAATAGTTTCAATAAATACATGCATATTAGTTGTCTATTATCATGATGGTGGCTCTCCTCTTAACGTGGCTTCCTATAGTTTTTTTTCGACCATACCTCTCCTTTTAAATTCGCTATTTGAAAATCTTTCCATGCACTGATTTAATTGGTATTTGGACCAGTAACAAAGCTTTGATCAAAGTTTTGTTTGGCACTGAATATTTAGCTCCATTAACGTTACCTATAGGCAACGGAAATCGCATTTTGTCGAAATTTCTTTTTTGCCAAATATGATGAGATCCAGAAAAGCGGTAGACATCATCATTAACTTCGAACTATATTGCATGCAACGTTCTGGAATAGTAGAAAAAAATTCATCTATTCGATTTCGAGTAATATGCAAAAATCTTATCCATAGAATATTTGTCAATATTGCTCGAAATAGAACAGATAAATTTGAATGCCTTTCCCCCCAGGACATTCTATAATTTTGGATCTGTCGTACATGGATGCTCATATGTYTCTTATGTACATGATATGCGTAGATTATGCGTTATTAAGGACTGAAGAATAAATTTTGAGTGCTAYTCATTTTAGTACCAGGACGACCTTACGGACTGACACTGAATTTAAACGTCTTTTCACGAGAGGTCTAAAATGGGAGTCCAAAGCCAGTTCTAATTTACCAGTTCTAATTTACCAGTTCTAATAAAAATAGGAAAAAAAAGAATAATCAATATTTAAACAAATGAATATCATTGAACATTAAAGATGAAAATTTCCTTTCTACATTTCTCTTTTCCATGAGATAAGACTTGTTATATATTGAGAAAAAAAGGCAAGACTGGGGTCTTTTAACTGAAATAGCACGTGTGCGACTTGCCTATTTAAAATCGTCCTAAGGCCCTGTCATGGACAAAATACTCTTAAAGTGCTACTTGCATGAAAATGCCCTTATTTCAAAACTTTAAGCAATACAAATATATGACTCATTTATATCTATTAAAAACAATTGCGGGAAAATATTTGTTTTGGAATTATCCCACATCAGCGAAATTTTGATTCAAAAAATGGAGTAAATGACGTCATTTACACCAACATTTTTTGCCCAAATTATTAAGAATTTCTATAAATATCTTCTTGAAATCTATTGCTTCATGATTATTAGACCCATATGGGTAGGTAAGTTTGATTTCGAAGTCTTTTCTAATGTTTAGCAATTAAAAGCGTTATATTAGTCCTGTGGTTCAAATAAAAAAGGACGTAAGTGAATAAAAAAAACTAACTATTGTCGAGGGATAATTTACACTTWTCTAAATTATTTCCTTATGTCGTTTCTGATATTGCATTTGTTAGTACAAAGCTTAGTTGATGATATACAAGGACACCAACGATACGAATCAATATTTGTTCAAGATATACGAGTATAAATAATAATTTTTTATACTCATTTTTGGACGGGTAAATTTCAGGTAATGTTGTTAAAAACTATTTTAAAGGTAGAGATATCAAGAATGCAATAATAGTAATTAAGGGTGCTTTCGATTAGGCAGAACTGGCCGGCCAGTCC